CTGCCTACTACGAAGTGAGTAGGTTTCTTATGTCATGCTTTCTCATCATGCTGTTTGTGCATTGCAGTCAGTCTAATACGGACTAAATATAGTAAAGCTGTGAGCCAAAAATCAATCTCTTCTGCATTTAATTGTGGATTGTTGGAGACTGGGCTCTACAGGTTAAATTGCTGAACACAGAGACCTATGGCTGTGTTGGAAAAGAGCATATGCATTGTGATCTGAAGTCAAAATAACTATAGCTCTGACAACAAAGGACATAGGCTGCTGAAACCCCATTTTCTAGAGCAATAAAACTGCCAATCTTAGAGATAAGGCAGCTCTCTTAATTGGCAAAATTTATTACTTGGAGAGGTCTTTGAGCTGATTGCTAAGGTCCCTCTCCGTTCCCATGCTTGCCTCAATATCCCCTTCCATTGTTTGGAAAGCAAATAAATATGGTCTTCCTAGAGAAGTTTTTTGTCTCAACTCCCAGGAAATCACAAATTCTGACAGAGGGTTTTGACTTTCCTGGAGCCCTACAGTCATATCTCTTGTCTTTTGTGTTTAAGCCACTTACCATCTGTTTAGGAGACTGGTAGTAGGCCAAGACTCCTGACCGAGTACCTAAAATCCTTGGAATGGAAATTTTTAGCCTAAATGAGCAAGTCTACTTAGAGTAGAAAGGGTTCCAGATGGAGAAGATCTTCACAGGAAGAAACTTTTCTAGGGATACCTGGGGAAGAAAGAGAAAGAAAAACTTTTCCCAAGGAAAAAAAGGGTGAATGTTCCATCTGTGAAAAAACATTTGTGTTTATCTGGGAATAAAGAATGGGGCAAAATTTATCAGCCAAGGAGCAAAGATACATACAGTTGTTCCAAAGTCTTCTGTGCTGCTATAAACCTGAGTGGACATATATCACTGTGGTATGATTTTTTCAGTTCTTCTGGAAAAATACCACAAAGGAAAATAGCTGGATTGAAGGAGACCTCTAATTCTACTTTTTGAGGAATCTCTGCACTGATTTCCACAGTGGTTTCACCAGTCTAAACTCCCATCAACAGTGGAGAATATTAAAACAGAAACATGAAATCTTCTGGAAGAGAAAGAAGGTAGAAATCTTGAAGACATAAGAGTAGGCAAAAAGTTTATGAACAAAAATCAAACTGCGTGGGAAATACTTCAAAGAATCAACACCTGGGATCTCACCATATTGAAAAGCTTTTGCATATGTAAATAAATCATCAACAGAGTAAAAAGAAAACCCGCAAATTGGGAAAAAACTTTATCTAACTGTGCATCAGACAAAGGACTTCTATCTAGAACATATAAAGAATTTTAAAAATTGAACCCCAAAATTCAAAGATCCAGTTCAAAAATGGGCATCTGAGATGAATACACACTTCTCACATGAAGAAATACAAATGGCAAATAAATACATGAAAAATGTTCAACATCATTAGTCATTCTAGAAATGCAAATTAAAATAACGCTGAGATTTTATCTCACTCCAGAAAGAATGGCTATCATCAAGAAATCAACCAATAGCAAATGCTGGAGGGGCTGTGGGGAGACAGGTTGTTTTCAATACAAAATTTACAGTGTAACAACTTATGTGAAGCCAATGCTTACATTTTCATCAGAATAAACATTTTATTTCCTTAATAGTACTCTTTCCTGATTGAATTTGTCTCTTTATATTAGTGTTACAGCCTTCCTTACCAAATACTATAGCCTGAGAGCTTAAGCACAGAAATTTATTTCCTGACAGTATTGGAGGAGCAAGCTCAAGGCCTCTAGACCAGCATGATTAGATTCTGGAGAGACCCCTTATGCTCGTGTGTAGGAAGCCCTGTTCTCATAGGCACTGTTCTCTGTAAGCTTGTATGACTTCCTCTGTACCTACAGACTTCTGGGGTCTCTCTTCCTGAGGACACAAGACTTACTGTACTAGTGCCTTGACTCAGGATGTCTTTTAACTTTAATGACATCCATAAGTGCTCTATCTCCAAATAGAGTCACATTTGGGTTTAGGGCTTCAACATTTGGCTCATTTTGAGCGAATGATTGAGTGTATAATACTCTTTTTGGAGTAGGTTTAGTAGTAACATTTTCAGCTAGAAGACAAATTTTGGCCCATGAATGCACAATTATACCTGCATTCCTCAGCTCTTTCAAAATATGAATCAATCACCTTCGACCACAGGCAGTTTTAAAAATAATTTTCATGGAATCAGATTGTGTTTTCCCTATTTTGGAGATTATCTGTAATTACTTTGTGGATAATTTCTGGATTTCACTTTGCCTCTGCTGGTTTCCAATTTCTCATAATAATATAAAGTATGATAACTTACAGGAAATTTCATTGAATGTATAACACATAGCTTGCAAACAAGCTCATGTTTTATTTAACACTATTATGTCATTACTTTAATTGACAGAGAAGAGGGAAATATACAATTATACTTTATAGAACAGTTCTATCAGGAGAACTAAGAAAAGAATTATTCCCCATGAATTTAATTGTGGAAGGATTTATATCAAGATGAAACCAGAACTATGCTTACTGATGAAACACTGGGAAACTCTCTCCTTACAAAAAGAGATGCCAGATTCACCACAGTTAGTTAGTATTTTGAGCATTCAAGCATTTCATTATGTTGGAAGCACCACAAAAGAATTATACACAAGGAGAAATAAAATAATCATTATAAATAACTAAATGTAAATATAATGTTCTACCTTTAAAAGACAAGACAGTGAGTTTAAAACACAAAGCATACTGGCTTAGAAAGACATCTTCCTCTCAATTTAGTATAAAGTCAAGTAAAATAATTACTGTATCTTTTTTCTATATACATAAAACATTACATATATTGTCATAAAATAATTATACAAAAATTTGTAAGCATTTTAGCATAAAAACTGAAATTGTTAGTTTTATTGTTTTTTTCCCACTAAACTATGGTGTGGCTGTGGGCAGCATCTTCATGTTGACTTTTCATCTGAATTTGAGGCAGCGTCCCTGTCTGCTGGGTGTTATTACTAAAGCTCTTGGCTCACAACTGCATGCTGTGCTACATAAGTATTTAAAACTGTTGAGACTCAGTCATTTTACATGAAAAATATTATTGCACGTATTTGAGTACCAAACAATATGAGCTATAAAGTGATCTTCTACATGGATATTTTATAACATCTTTTTACTGACTATCATAAACAAATGCCCACTTCATATTTTATAGTATCTGTTTCTCAATACAATGTCCCAAACAGACATGCAGAAAAGGTGTTCCCTTTTTCCTATAAATGAATTACAGAACTGCATTAGAAAAAAATCTACTCCAAACTGAGCCTTGACAGTTTTGAAGGGATTTCTTTGTAAAAATAAACCTACATAAATATTTTTTTACTTATAAAAATACACAGACACTCCTCATCTAATGACCAAGTTCTGCTGCTGGTACTAGGTCTTCATCTGAGTTGGGCACTAAGTGAGGAAGTAGATGTAGTATGTATATTACAACAATATTCAGAAGAAAGAAATGGGCAAAGGTAACTCCAACTTGATGGCTTTTCTTTTCTTTGCATAACTCTTGAATGCAGTATTATAATATATAACAGAATTTATATAACAGTATTTCAGTACAATATTATTAGTTGTACTGTACAAAAACAAGACATTTAGACCCTATCAACAAAAGGTACACAATTGTGCAAAAAAAGAGGGGTCATAAATGCAAGTAGTGAATCTGAAATCCAAAGAGTATACATGGTTTGTAAGCCCAAAGAGTTGATAAAACAGGTAGGTTATTAAATGAGGAATATCTGGATAACATTTTATATTGTTTAAGGTGTAACACCACTAAACATAAGGCACAGGCAAATGTCTCACTCTCTTTTCACATCTATTAAACCCAATTCATTCTCAACTCTCAACTTTCACATATTTTACAAATTCATTTAATTTTTTTTTACCTTTAATTTCTGCCATACAATCAAAACTAGTAATATATAAACACAAAAACCTTTATCTTAATTATATTTTTGCCTTTCACAAGTTACTCTAATCTTCTGGTCCTATGATAACCTGTTGGTTTCCCCCCTAGAATTTCAAGCTTAATAATGAGAGAATATATAAAACTATCTATTGTCCAGCATAGTGTTCAATCAAAAGACTATCACAGCCATGTTTTGGTATTTTGTACATTACAATTAAAAAGACTGCAGTAAAATAAAATAATTAATATGCTATATTAATGTACACTATATAATATATAATATAAAATCAATAGAATTATGTAATATATAATTTTCAAATGGAAATTATATATTCCTAATAACAATGTGATAAAATAATTGTTAGTTTGAAGATAATAAGATACATAGGAATTCAGAGTAAATCAGCTTCATGACTCTGTGGAAGTTTTTTTTTAATTCATAAGTAGGTGTTCATGTTTCAAATAACAGAGTTAATATATTTGATTTTCAACAATCTGTACTTCATTTTTTATCTTACATTTTAAACACATCATATGCATTGAATACATTATATGTGTGTAACATTATAAGGTTCTATTTCTTAATAACTATCTCACATACATACATACATATATGTATTACATAGCATGAGTATTTCCTTTAAAATTGTAAGATGAATAACTGGCAAAAAATTCACATTCTTTGTTAATATAAACCTTTTTACACTTAAAAGGTCTAACAAATATTGACATACTTCCATGTATAAATATATATCTTCTATATATATGTCTTAACAGTACAAATATATATATATACATATATAATCTATATTGTACATATGTTTGTATTTTTATTTTACACATATATTTGTGCTGTTAAGATTGTGATGTCTTTGGATTGATCTGATTACAAACACACTTTTGTAAAATTTACCAAGTTGCATACATTAGAATATTAGGGAAGTAGAAAATTATGAATGTAAGAATGTCCAGTGAAATGACTTTCCTTTTAAAATATGACAGATGAACCCTCCAGTGATCTATGAACCTGAAGATTCAGCATCTTTGGATCCACACCTCAGACTTCTTAACAGTGAAAGAGAGGCCTGTTTCAGCTTAGTACTTCCCAGTACTAGGACAAAGGAGTGGACTGAAGGAAAAGCGATTTCGACAATGTGATAAAAGATAAAAGGAAGAAACTCAGGTCTCCAAAGTTGTATAAAAATTGACAGAAAGAAAGTTGTGTACAGTAGAAGAAAGACAACCACAGCTTGTAAGGCCTTTGTGTGGGCCGTGGTGCTGACATCTCTGGAACCTATGACACTATGCTGCATCCTCTTCAAATGTTTCCACAGGGAGAAGACTAGCAGAAGAAACATTGTCAGAGATAGTGCAAAGGCTATGAATGTGAACACAATGCTGCTGAATAAAAGAAGTTTTGGAAACTCAGGAGTGATATATAAACTGGAATTGTAAGACATCCTTCTTTTATACCCATCAATCAAGACATTCACGTGTATATTTGACTGCAAAAGATGTAAAAATAAGAGAACAAGACATACCAGTAATATCAATGAAACCACCTTTTTAACTCTCCACTTAAAGTAAAGAAAAATAGAGTTGGAAAAATTGGCTATTTTGAGGCAATAAAAGATACTGAGGCACGTAGCAAGCCAGGCATTAAAATGAAAACCTACAGTCCAAATAACGTAAAATATTCTTATTATTACTACGTTTATGAGGAAACCTGGATAAAACACATGAATCCACCAACCTGTTAATATTATCCAAAGCAGAACAATCCTGGAGATTGCCAAAGCAGTGAGCAGGTGATCAGCTACAGAGATCTTTCTTCTGTTGATGGTGTCCATACAGCTTACCAGGATTATGAATCCATTTCCTAAATTTCCTGTTGTGAACTCCACACTAAAAATGATAGTAAATATGCTTTCTGTGACACTCCTCATTATCACTGAGACTGACCCAATGTATGTTATCACTGCTAAAGATGTATTCATGCATTCATTTCTGATTTTACATACATCTGATTCTTTAAAAATTAAAAATATACTTTCTTTAAAAATGTCTCCCATCAATGTTTTATCAAACAAGGAAAAGTCAGTATTTGCTAATGGGTTGGTTCAGTGCATTCTGCTTGAGAATCTTGTATTTTCCAGCCATCCCAGCTGAGTTTCATCCAAAGACTCTGAGTCTCACACACAGGAGCCTGGAGTCTGTTGTACTTGATAAAGAAGGAAACATAGAAAAAAAGCTATATTTATTTACATCTTTTTGCTGTTCTTGCCTTAGCTACCATTTTGATCTGAGCGCCTAAGATCTGGTAAAATAGCATTACAAGTTCTAACTCATGTAGAAGACAAGAGCATCTAAACTAATATAAGAAATTTCCTAAACACTGAGGTTCTTTAACATTTCAAAATTCAATCTGTACAATGACCTGTGCATATGTTGTGAAAAGCTCAAACTGGGCATTATGAGTTACCTATTGGTTTCAGGGAGGCCATTATGTCCTGAATGTTTAATACTGAGATAATATTTACTTATCATTTTAGCTTTTACAAAGGCATGCAAACATATCCATACACAGCAACACTCACATCTTACATAAAGATTTATTTGGATCCAAATTCCTTTTTTTCTCAATAATTCACATTTTTTTTGCTTAATAAACACTTGTTGTATCTTATGCCCACAGTATTTTGATAGTTGTTAAAATTATTTAAAAATGTTTTATAGTATACTATTCATATAAATATTCAGCAAGATTTAGAACAATCTTTTCTGTGCATGTGAAAAGAGCTATAAATCTATCTGTGGACCTGTGAAACACACACTGAGATGAGCAACCCCACTTGCACAGCTGGAATACTCCTGTTTCTCTCTCTTGCACTGGATGGTACTTTCCTCCAGTCACCCAAAGACCTCCAGATTGTATCTTTCTTCCCTCACCACCCACCTGTGTCAGCTCCGTGACCCTAAGTACAAGTACCAAGGCAGATAAGGTATGAAATACTGGTTGAGTGCAATTACAAAAGAAACAAAACAATTGTTCTTCAGCCCAAGGGAGCAATGGAACAAATTCAGCTGCAGTTGTAAAAACAGCAGAAAAACATGTATCATAAGTTTCAGAAATGGGCGAGAAATACTGGGGTATTCACTGTGACAGTGTGATCTGATCTTCATTTCCTTCGATCAGTATTAGACAAATAAAGTTATCACTACATATTTTGAAAATCCCCACAAATGTACATTTATGAAAGGAATATATTGAAAATGTAAAAAACTAATGTGGGAAAATTTCAAGAAAAAAGAAAAACTCCTAACAATAAAAGCATAGAGGTACCATTAGTGCAGAGGGAAAAAGATCCCTGTGAGAGTCAGTTTCCAGAACTGTGACAAAATATCTGCTGTAATCAACTTAAAAGGAGGAATGCCTTAAGTTGATTATCATTTCAGCAGTTCCATCCAGCATTGCTGGGCTTTATTGTGTTAGCATCTCTGGAAAAAGAAGACACAGGGACGTGTAAACAACCTCGCGTGTGCTCTGGAGAGTGGGAGTTGGTACAGAAATTTATGGTCCTTTAAAATAGCATCAAAACTTGGGTCCCTGGCAAGGGCTATACTCACCCCTGAGGAGCTTTACCTACTGCATCCTTCACTCTGGATGGAAGCACTCTCTGTTCCTCCTGATCAGTAGCATCTAGGGAATGGCAGTCTTTTCCAGACAAAATGAAAATAGAATCAAGGATAATTTCCACACTTTACACCCAGAAGTCAAGAGTAACAGTTTAGTCTTTGAGAAAAGCAGTGCCTTTATCCATGTCATGGCCAATATCATACTAAGGAGACTCAGTGCATTTCATGCTCATTTTATTTTTGTTGGCAAGTTTTACATACTGAGCATAATAAATGCAAATAATTAAAGAGTTGTCACTCTCCTTAGCTTCTATATTTATACACATAGCATCAATCCTATCAATCTATATCTATGTAGTTATACTTAGAAACTAAATTCTGGATCAACATCCTTATGATTTAAGAAAAATTGAAAGAAAATCATTATTTAAGCTCCTTTATTCTCTCTAGATTTGTAGTAGTATTACTGCTGAATGTACCTTGAAGAAAAATGTTTCCACTTTGAAGTATATGAGCATACATATACATATACACATCGATATAGATAAATCTGAACAATCAGCCTTCTTTACTTCTGGAAGCCTATGCAACTATGTTCTCAATAAACAGACTCTATGAGATTACCTGCAAAATCAGCATAGCTGATTATTCATTGAAGAAATGATCCCTATCCTTGCCTGATTCTTTCCATTTACAGAGATGGGAAAGCACTAAAATAAGAGACTGAAAGTGGTGATTAATGAGCAAGGATAAAGCCCCCTGCAGAAGGCAGTAGGTAGGAAAGCAGATGAGTTCCTTCAGTACTGCTCACCAGTCCTACAGGACCAAGACTGAGCACTGGCAGCATCAACTCTTTGATGACTATGAGAAAGGCAGATACAGATAAAAGGGAGATCAACGGTCTTATTGAGTGGGTTCATAGAACAGCTGTTCATTAGGCTCTGTGTCCATAAGCCAAGAGCAAATGAGAGCTGAAAACTGACTCCTGAGCCCAGACCTTTATGTTTTAGCCTAGCATGGAATCAATTCACTGAACTAGAGTCCTGAGATTGAGGGAAGTCTAAATCCCCTTCACACAGGTCCCTGAAAATATACAACAGGATTATTCAGGATGAATTCATGTGGTGTTTTCCAAAGACCTGTAACCATTTGCAGGGTAACAGTTCCTATGAGAGAGGGCACATGTCCACATTTACTTCTGGAAGCCTATGCAACTATGTTCTCAATAAACAGACTCTATGAGATTACTTGCAAAATCAGCATAGCTGATTATTCATTGAAGAAATGATCCCTAGCCTTGCCTGATTCTTTCTATTTACAGAGATGGGAAGTTTAGAGTCTGAAATAATAGTGGTAATTGGGGATGATACAGAATTTATCTATATCGGTAATTGGGGATGCAAAGAGACCTTACATTATATTGCATGGAGTGGAACCTTGAGAATGGAAATGCTTTCTAGATCCTTGACTTATTTCCATCCCAAAGTGGGTCTAATGCATTGGTATTTTTTAACTAATCATGAATGCATAATTGCAATGGACAGAGTTGATGGAGAAATGTTCATATTGTTCCTGACCTGTGGAGTAAGGGGCATTCCTGTAAGTAGGATTAAGTTGGGAATCTGTGAAAGTCTTTTCCTGGAATACAGGTAACAAAAAACCAATTAATCACTGTCTCCAAGGAATTAATTGATTACTACTAATAAAAGGTCTTTGAAGTTTCGAAGGAATGATATTTCTTTCACATCCCTATTAAATTAAAATTTCTGGACTCTTCCATAGTCAGGTCGGCAAGATAGGATGTATGCAGATTACCATAAATTTACATTGCTCTTGCCAACACTGAGCATGCCTGACCTGGATCTTTGCATGTGGCTGTTGACTTGGTGAACATGTTTAATCAGTGCTCATTTTTCAGAGAAATCAAAGCATTTAAATTTACTGTTTTGCGAACCTGCAGTCAGAGGGCCCTAAGGCTCTAAGCATTTTTGGGTACTTTGCTACCTGCTGCAGAATTGTGGGTCTGTTTTCATATGTTTGAATTTTAACAAGTTGTTTCATAAGAAATAACAAATTATGTTAATGTCTCTCTAGTGTCTTCTGATAGCAAAAAGAAAAAAGAAAAACAGGCTGTTACTGAGCCTACTTAGGCAAAAGTTAGTGTGTTACTAACCTACACATTAATTCTGCTTAGGTAAATGATACTGGTTGTATAATATTGAGTTGCATTTCTGAAAAGTTGTGAATCTTGCTGTTCATGATTTTTTGAATATCTAAGCCAATAAAAAGAAAAACTGAGCTGGGGGAAAGGAGAAGAGAAGGAAGGGGAAAATATATATTATATATGTATTATGTATACACACACAAGATAGCTAAATTCAATGTACTACTAACTTCTGTTAGTTTGTTGAAAGGAACAGCTGGTGCTTATATTGTTTGATCAATCTTACATGCCTATGTCTGAGCAACTACTGAGCCACTGCTTTGAAGATAACAATATGCAATATAATAACCATTTTTAATTTCTTGTCATCTTGTTTTGAAATTCTGTATCATTTTTATTTTTCATTCTCTTTAAAATAAAAAAAAATTTATATGTTAAAAATGCAATTAAAAAAAACAAAATTGGTGTTTTATGTCAGGGTTGTGTAAAGTCTCCTAAGCTATTAATCTTTTGTTTTAATTTTCCTTATTTTGTTTTCTGGGTCCTAAGCTTTGAACCCAGGGCTCATTCATAATAAGCGCACACTGTATGAATAAGCTATTTCCCTAAACCCTTTCTCAGTTTAACGTACATTTTCCAAAAATATTTTGTTAATTCAGCATATCAGATATATGTCAATTTATGTCTAAGCACAATGTGAGATTCATAACATGACATACTGTAAAATGAAATTTGAGAAAGATACCAAAAGAAGATTCATAAATCTGAAAACGTTCAGGAACCTATACCATGAATAAAGCACTCAGGGGGTCCATTGGTGTGATCTACATCTACAAAAATCCTCCCTAAATCAAATCCCTATGTTATATTTTCTGCCACAAAAAGTTCAACTGTGTTTGTTTTGTCTCTTTATATTTTGGGCCCAATATATACCACATTTAGGAATAGAGCTCTGATCTTTTATGGAATTTTCCTAAAGGCTGCTAGTTTAAAGTGTGCCCCAGAGCGTGAGAGATCACTAAGCTTGTTCAGGCTGCTGTGCAAGCTGCTCTATCCTTAAGCAGATAATTCTGCAGATGCAAAACTACTGAGAGCATCTGTAATAGGCAAGGATTAAACCAAAGGAAAACCCACGTAAATCATGTA